AAGTAACGCCGAGGTACCTGAAAGAGGATACTTCGTTAGGAAGAATGCCAGAGTATTCAGGACTAGGAGAAGGCTGCAGTCGAAAAATACACTGAACGGATTTTTGGTTGTTAATAAGAAGACCATTGTCCTCCGACCATACTAGGACATGGTTAAGCCATCTTTTAGAGATTGGAGGTGTGTCTGACTGTTGAGAGGGTGTCCAACAACCACATCATCAGCATACTTGACCAGAAGACAGTCATTAGGGCACCTTAGATCGTCAGTGTGGAGGGAGAAAAGGTGGGGGGATAGAACGAAACCTTGAAGAACACCGCAGTCATTGGGAAGGATCGTAGATTTCCGCTTGCCAGATTGAACGAAGTGAGTGGGGGAAGTAAAATAATCGCTAAGCCAAGAGACGACCCAGCCTGGAGAGCCGCACGCGAAGGTTTTGGTAAGGAGAAGAGGGCGCGGGACGGTATTGAAGGCGGAGGAGTAATCAAGAAAAGCGCATGCGTACTCGCGGCAACCTTTGTCTAATGATTTTAGAGCAGACTGGACCACAAGAGCAACAGCATCTAAAGTACTTCGTTTGGCTTTGTATGCAAATTGTAAAGGGTCAGAAAAAACAGGAAGAAAAAGGCTTTATAATATCTAGGGCAACTCTTTCAGCAAGCTTTAGTATTGCGGAGGAGCAGGCAATTGGACGAAAAGATTTAGGACCAAAGTTAGCGGGCTTTCTAGGGATGGGAGTGATTCTCAATGTACGCCAGGCGTCGCAGCTGTCTATGTGCAATTTGAGCTCACCACCCACACGCGAATGTAAAACAAGCCACTCGAACGCCAACCCTCGACAAATCCACCCACACCAATTGGACACCGCTTCAGTTTGCCCCACAAACCTACAAGAACAGCTGCCGCCACCGTCTCAAGGGCTCCCAGCGGTTACTGGACGAATTCAGAACTAGCCCAGACTTCACCAGCGGTCATTGCCACCTGACAGGACAACTCAGGTTTCTGTATGCCATAGACCCGCCATTCTGGTGACCTCTGTCTTCTCCACTAACGCAGAAGTCGGCCCAACTGGTGTAGCGCCCTGAGTACACACAAACGTCGCTTAGCCGCTATATATTCACCTGTGAGCTGTGAACCGCCTAGTCGTGCTAAGTGTCGAAACCCTCCTATTCAACCCCCAATAAGACCACAAGGCAGTGATCTAAGAGGAAGATTGGGGATTATTTAGGACGGATTGGAGTTCAGGCAGGTTAGAGAACACGGGGAGGTCCTTTGGCGTGGAATGGTTGACCTGGAGATGGTCCTTGGTTTATTCGGTAAGCAAGAACGGCGATGACGTGTGGGGACGTCGGAGAGGCGTTCTCCGGTCCAAGGCGCTAGGACATCAATTGTACTC